TAATATTTAGTGATAGGGTTAACGGAGTAAGAAAGATATAAGGTTTTAGCTAAAGATAGCTCGAAATAAATAAGATCCTAGTATAGCGATTCGAACGGGCGACTATACTATATAGGTGCTCGAGAGATTTAGCGGGGCGAATTAGCTAATTTGCAGGCCTCGTAGTAGTTGATCGGTAAAGATATATCTCTGATAGAGATATTTGATAAGTGATCCGGTAGATAGGATAAGATCTCTTTTCCTACGTGGCCTAGGCGACGATACTATTAGTCTATCGTCCTATTAAGTTGATTTTTTGTATATAATAATAGGGTAATATAATTAGTAGTTAGTTCGCTAGTGATTGCTAATTCGTCCTATTTAATCAGGTAAATACCTGATTTTGGATTTAATTCGTAGATAGGCGTTCTGTCCTCTTCTTCTAGCAGATTCTTTCTACCGTTTAGATAGATTCCTGTACTAGTAGCACGTTCTATAGAGATTAGGTTAATATAGAATCTAGGGTAGTAAGTAACTTACTTTAAAGGAAAAGTAGTACCGTCAAGAGACTTAGTTAGGGCGACTTTAAGGTCTCTATAGCCGAGGATAGTGGTTTCGGTATTTCCAACTATAACTAAGGACACGATAGACCTATAGTTTTGTAGTAGAGATCTATTATTCGTTACATAAATTAAGGCTCCGGTATTATAGTACTAGGTATTACTTCGCTTAGTAGAGATCCTGATTGTGCTTATAGCTAACCGGTTATTATCTCGAAAGAGAGTTTTGGCCTCCTTCTTCGGAATATAGGCTGAAAATGCATCTCGATCTCTAGCTAGATCTTAATCTCTAGTTAGATCTAATTAGTTAGAGTCGTTTAATTGATATCTCTTGATCGTATAATTATATACGGTCTTAAAGGCATATAACGATTCGTATAGATCTTTAAAGATCTTCTCGATTACCTAATCTAGCTTCTAACCCTTTAGCCTAACCTTTAGATTAATATATCGGTACTTATCGAATCTATGCTTAAATCCGTAAGGGTAATTTCGATTAGTAGGCGGCTTTATAATATTCGACTCGTCTTCTATATCTCGTCCCTAATAGGTCGGATAGTTAATTAGTCGCCTAGTAGAAGAGCTGATTAGCCGGTATTAGTTAATAAACAGATTAACTAACTCTATTAGGGTAGGCTTTTTTAAGCCCTAGAGGATTATATTATACTAAAAGGTATAGAAACCTTGATCGCTTAGTTAAATCGTCTCTAAGAAATCGTATATAGGAGATAGTAGGTCTTTAAAGTAGGCAATTCCGGCTTTCTCGCCTTCTAATTAGCTGATAATCTACTTCTGTCCCTATATAGCAAGATAAGATGATTTAGTTAGTAGCGTTTAGCGTTTGATACTATCCTAATTATATTAGATTTATCGGTTCTTTAATTAGTCGGATAGTACGAATATAGCTCGAAGTTTAATAATAGCTTCGTGTGCTAATAGGCTATTAACAATCTGCTATCCTTCTAATATAAGAGATGATCGAATACCTTATTTAAGAGATTCGATTAATCGAAGGTAGCGAAGATAGTCTAATCTTGATAATTCGTACTTACTTAGCAATATCTTATAGATAGCTAATTAGTCGGATATAAGATTAATTAGCCGTGTAGGAACGTTGGCGGGATCTTTAGTAAGATTAGCGAATTAGGGTTTTGTAGGTTCCTGCGGCGGGGTAGTAGGATCGGATTAGTCTAGATTAATATACTTCTATACACTATTCGCTAGTACGTAGTCTTTAATAGCAGTAATCTAGAGTACCTAGTATGCGTAGGTTTTAAGTAGGTAGTTAAGCTATATAGCTCGAAGATCGGTTGAATCTATCACTTTTTAGACGAAAGTAAGAGATAGATAAGATGAAAATAAGACAAGAAGGGATTAATTGACTAGTCAGAGGCCTTAGCAGAAGCTCGGGCTTATAACTATTGGATTTTAGGTAGTGATTATAAAATCCGATTGCACGCAAAAGGATATATGTGTTATAAGCAGGTAAAGAAAGACTATCATGAGAGAAATAGAGGTCGGCTAATTAGACTAAAAGAAGAGTATAATCAGGTATGCCAAAGAAATCTACTCATAAATTAAAAGAGATATCAAACTTGTTTAATTTAGCTAGGAAAGCAAACAGAATTTATAACACGAGGTACATAGTAAATATCATATGAAGAAATCAAGAATATCCGAGGTTATCTTGGAGTATTGAGTAGTCTCCGGCTAATATAGGCAGTTTAATACGAGATCGTTGAGGATTAATATAAATCAATATAGTGGTCATGAAGGTGATCTTCCGGGGAAAAGATGGTGGCGGCTTAGTCATCTGCGGGAAGACCCTATATAAGTTGACACTACCTATCTTGCTCGAAATTCTAAAACGTAGCTATCGCTATTAGTTTTTATATTATATACCTATTTACCTAGTAGGATTAACGTGCCCTTCGGTAGATAGGGAATAAGAACTATAGTATTAGAAGTAGTAATCTTATCTAATTAGACCTTTTCTGCCTATAACTAGTAATCTACAAAATCAGATTTCTTTACTTCTATATAGGTATTAGGGATTTTAACTACTCCCGAACGAATCCTCTTAGTTATACTATAAACTATACTAGGGCCTAGTATATTTTCTTTAATAGTAATTATTAATAGATCCAAAACTATTAGGCCTTTCTTAGGATATCTTACTATACTAGGACCTAAATCTACTAGCTTTCTTTCTCTAGCAGATCTTCTCGGTGGTTATTATTAAGCTAGTTAATTAATTAGCTATTATTAAACTAGTTAGTTAATTAGCTTAGGAGGATAGGTAATTTAAATTTAAATTAGGTTAGGAGAAGCAGTCTACTTAATTAGATTTGTTAAAGAAGTAGATTAAGTAATTTATAGAGGAGACTATATAATTGTAATTAGATCTAGAGAAGAACCTCGAGTAAAAGAATAATGAATTAGTATAGAAGAACTTCTTAGAAAAGTACCTAGTAGTATTAGTATTTAAATAGATAACGGTCGGGAAAAATCTTCTATACTTAGAATTAGTAAATCAGGATCGTGTATACTTGCTATATTACTAAATAATCTTTTTACTAGTATATTCGGTAGTAAATCTCGAATTATATATAGTTAAATATATATAATTTATAGTCGCGTAGTTAATAGAATAGTTTGCTAGGCCTATTAAATTAGTAAAAAGGAAATATCGGTCATATTTTGATTTTTAGAAAAAGAAGATTAACAAGAAACTAAAGAAGTTAGAATAGATTATGTAATTAGTACTAGTAACAAATTTTGAATTAAAGAATTAGTCTATATCTTCGCCTTTAGTAATATAATTAGTTTTGTTATCTTTTAAAGTAGTAAAGTAATAGATTTCTGTTATCTTAGTATAGTTAGTTCTAATAATATAAGTAGGTTTAGTATAGTAATCGATAGAGTTTGATAAAATACACTTAACTCCTGATCGGTAATTAGTATAATAGGGTTAATTACCTTATAAATAATAATTTCTAGTAGATTCGAATACAATTAGCTTTGCTCTTGCTATTAAATAGGTTATATCTGCTAAGAGATATCTTCTTTAGTTCTCTAGATTATTAATAGGTAGCAGTCGCGAGGTTCTTATAATTTTTCTAGAATTTGATCTTTAATTAATTTTAGCAAATATCGTATTAGTAATAGTTCTTCCTAAAATATAATATCACGGCGTAAAACAACCTGTCTCTTAGAAGAGTCGTAAATCCTATAGATATAGCTATTATTACCCTCGTAGCTAACTAAATAGCTAACCTATACGCGGGGGGCTATCTTGTTTCCTTAAACCCTTAGCTCTTTTAGAATATAAACGTAGGCTTTTGAAAACTATACACGCAAAAAACCTAGGTTAATTAGACCTATATCTCGAAGACCTAAGGCTTTATTCTATATCTTAATTAGTGACTCTAACTAACCTAGACGGCGAATTCTATTCAAAACGTATATTATTACTATTACTACCTCTAGCTAGAGATAGGCGGGTACTTCTAGTACTAAAATTATTAAAGTTCTTACTCCTTAAATAATAATATAACCTAATAATTCGGCTATACTATTAGGTTTATATATTAAAGGTAGCGAAAGTGTAACAATAGTGCCCTTTTCTTTAATCTATCTAGTAAATCGCAAGAAACCTAAATCGCTATTAGTTCGAACTTCAAATAGCTAATATCTAGTAATATTATGGATTTGAGTAGCCTAGTTAACCAAAATATTAGAAGCCTGTCCCTTAGTCTTAATTAGAATTAACCAACGCCTTCGGGTTATATCGTTATATATAACAATAATATAGTCGATACTACTAATTCTAGTTAGCTTATAAGGTTGAATATCAAAATAAATAAATTCGAATAGTTTTAACGTACGTTTCTAGAGGATATAGGAAACAATCTTCTTTAATTTAGCTAATCGATAGGGTTCGTAATTGAATTCGTGATCGCCTTCTATATCTTTACTAATACGATAATAGTTGATCTTTGCGGTAGGTTAACTAGTTTTAACGATGTGACGGTTAGCAGGCTGCTGGAAATAGCTGCATCTGCCGCCGTTTTAAGAGTCTTGCTAACCGTTCCGAGTCTTAGCACGGGGCAATTAATTCCCACCCAGCACCTAACTTGTCGCCACGCACCATCTTTGTTCCTGACGCTAGCCGTTGCTGCGCGACCTGTATACAGAATGACCATGATCTACTAGTCTAGAAGCTCAGGTTTGTGGAAGGGGGAGCCAGAAATAGCTGCCTCTTGCTTCGCCACTTTCATTTAAATTTCGAGGCCCGCCATTTTAGCTATAGCCATTTCAATTCCCCGTTAACCCGTGTCGTGGTCCGTCCTTTCACCTAGCTAAGAAGAGCAAAATCCTGTCTCTAACTATCTTGCTTGTCGATAAGTTGCTGCATACGAGTTAGTCATGACTGGATTAGAAACTGTATTCACTATAGCGTCCCGCTCTTACTCGGCTATATCTCTGGACAGTATAGATCAGAGCCAGAGCGATACAGACTCCGATATAGACGCGATCTTCACGGATAGCGGATCTGAAAGCGATCCCACAAGCGACTCTAAGCTTAGTAGTGAGGGCTCAGGCGACGATGAGAGTGACTCTAATAACGAATACCTTAATAATGAGGGTCAGCTACTACCAGAACACTACATAGCCAAAGCTCTGAACTTGGACGTCTCTCAGCTCCGACAGAAGAGATACAGTGAATACACCTAGGGGAAACTCGATGAAACTACTATGTACTAGAACAGGTAAGTTCTTTATCAGAAAAGTGTCTTTTCTTTAAATCTGACTAGTAGTCTCTTGTAAGATATTGTGAACATCTTAATCTGGATCCTTAGAAGCGCTAGCGATAGATCTCAGATTCTAACGAGATAGTCTGTTTCTTGTATAGATTCTTCGGTTAGCGTTGTGATATTCGTCGTAGAAAAAATAGCCGACACTGCCCTGGCATTAGATACAAAAGCTCACTTAAGTCATTCTAGAAGTAGTAGCACCTTGTTCTCAAACAGCAGACTAGGTCGGGATTAGGCAAGGAAATAATTGTCAAAGTTCAAGATATAAGGACTCAGTAAAAGCTATGTGCGCTAGATAGGATATTACACTTGCTAATAGATTTCAGATTATTGCACTTGTGGCCACGCAAAAAGGCCTTAAGCTAACACGGCGACCGAAGAAAAACATATACATTGAAGACGTTGCTAAGTTCGCACGCGTGCTTCTAACAACCACCGAAACAACGTTTCTCTATAGCTAGCAGCGTATTCAGGTCCTTTTTTACTGCTAGCTCGCCGCCATCACTACAAGCCGCCCGGGTGCTCTTTTAGGGCTTCGGTACCGTGACCTTACGCTAACGTTGATCCGAGACCTAGAAGGAGGACGCTCTAGGCTTTTCATATTTCTCACTCTAGAATTCACTAAGAAGTTTCTCGGAAAGAAGGCTCTATAGGTATTTCTAGCTCGGCTTTGCTTGATACCAGGGCTTATAGGCTAATATTGCGAATAGGAATAAGTTTAAAATCCTAGAGATCATTTTTGACCTAACGCTAGTGCTTAGTCCGTATGTTTGTCTACTCGGCATGCTCTTCTATATCAAAGGCTTCAAGAAAAGATCTCTGAATAGACCGGTACTAGACTGTCCCGAGAATCTCTATCGCCTTCGGGTTCTAGATAGTCTAGGGCAACAACAGCTGGTCTTGAAGGAAGAGATAAAGGATAAGTTCGTGTTCTGCCAGGTTGCTCGGGATATCGCCGGTTATCGCATTATCTTGGAAAAGCCAATAACATCGTCTATGATACGTTCCCGTATACGCCGAGCTAGAGAAATCACTAGCATAGAGCAAATCGCAAGGCCGTATCTTGTGCGATATACTAGAGCTAAAGTATTCAATAAGAGTGGTCTATATAGTCAAGCCCCCTTCAACAAGCTAACGACTAATAGTTTGAACAGAAGAGGTAACGGACGCCCTTCAGAACGTCATATTGCAGTACTCAGATATTCGCACGTTTGTTCGACACTATAAAGTAGACGTCGATATTGACGTTCAAGGTATTATAAGAAACACGGGATCACAGACAGCCCTTATACGATTTGCTTGTTCCCTGAGTACTTCTATTAACCCAGATCGACCCTATAAACTCTCACCTCAAGAATCTCGACTAATTACCGAGCTCCCGGAGGTTCGCGCAAAGCAAGATAAAGTCGACGAACGGAAACGGAAGTAGGAAGATCGCTAAGCCCAATTCGAACTCGCTAAGAGCGAGTTTCGAATCTCTCATGACCATCCGCAACAAGATTCGGAGTCTCATCGCTATCTGCAGAAGAAGCTAGAAACCGCTCGAGAGAGAGCGGCGGAAGCTAGTCGGAAGAAAAATAGAGCTATTCTCGAACTCCGTAGCGAGAAGCAACGCTAACGGAATAGGCGTGTCCGTGAGAACCTGGAGCACTACAAGAATAAGCAACCTGTGATTGATCTCGAACGTCAACTGCAAGGAAAGTTGGTAGATACGAAAGTCCTAGGGGCACTAGAAAATGCTGCCCCCTCAAGTCCAGAGTTTATAAGAGTCATTGATACCATCTTGACTATACCAGGTACTACAGTAGAGGCTGAATATCAGCGTCGTATTAATACAATCAACGCGGTAACAGCTTTCTATAGCGTAGAAGAAGGTCGCCCTACACAGAGGCCTGCCCAGTCTCGTCGCCGACAGGCTGTCGATGATCTTGATTACTGTCCTTCCTCCAAGCAACGTAAGAACCTAACACAAGACGACAAACAATCTATACTCCAGAATACGATAGAGTCAGTGCGGATCAAGTCTCCCGAGGTCCGGCCGACGATATGTTTCTTGTGTGTCGGGAATCCCAATCTTCCGCTCGAGAAACGAGTTGCGAAGCATACGATACCTGGCTCACTCACGCGACATTTTTTGCGAAAGCACGTGAACACTGCTTGGCCAACCGAGGGGGTTCTATGTAATATCTGTGATAATCAGCCCCTCGAGCATAAATCGATACTTGTCAACTATGCGGAGATAGCCTACGGTACAGTTATGCGAGGCCGCGCTCAGGAGAAGCTTACAGAAGAGTTGTCTAATACCGCACCCAAGAGAGGCTTTCAAGACAATTGAATACTGCGACGTTTTTGGAATAGACGAACACTACACGCTCCTGCACTATTATTTTGCATTTTTTTTTCGTTAGCTAATATCTCTTCCAATTCACTCTTCCTTCACCTGTTGATTTCCCACTTCTCACTTAAACGCAGGGCGAGAGGCGAACATCAGCCGTCTATCTTCAGCCGCAAAGCGGGCTTCTGTTCTATAATATAGAGCCATTAGTCTGTTTTCTAATGCGCCTTTTCTATGCTCGTTTTGCCTGTCGTCCAAAATCACCGAAAGACTGCATAGGAGACCAAATAGTACAATACTAGCCTCTTTGCAAGCAGAGTATTTGCGTAGAATGATTCGGTAAATAAAGAAGACTCAATTATCGTATTATTTAGAGTCTTCTTATTCCAACATACAGTAGGTATTTCATACCACCCAGGCCATTTACCCCAATGTCTCCCAGGATGCTTTAGTATAATTTGGAACAACCTAGATTGCTCCCGGATCAGCCTGGGTCACCCCTGGAGCAGCCTGGATCGCTCCCGGAGCAGCCTGGATCGCTCCCGGAGCAGCCTGGATCACTCCAGCAGTAGCCTGGATCGCTCCCGGAGCAGCCTGGATCACTCTAGCAGCAGTAGGGCCACTTTCAGAAGAAGCTTGGAGAAGACGGTCTCCCGATGCTGACCTGGAAATGTCTCTGGAGACACCTAGGATACCTCTATAGATACACCCTAAGTCTTTCCCTGCTAAGGAGATAACAATACTTTGAATTAATTTGACACCTAAAGGAAGATGGGGCTTTGCCTTAGGGCTATCGTTAAAGCATAACTTCGAGCAACCTCCTTTATTCCGAGTTCTAAATAAATGACTAGTAGATAATAAGATACGATATAAGATTTTACAGTATAATGCAAAAACAGATTACCCCTTTAATACTCGCGCTTTCTTTCCCAGCTGCAGACCACCGTATATTACCCCCGAGTCATTCATCCCTAATCTAGTCCTATTGCAATAGCCAAGCAAGCGATCGCTTAATGATAAGACTAGAGTTCCTAGCGAATGATATCACCTCTACTACTAGCACTGAAAATTGGGGTCACGGGAGGACATTCGGGAACGTTCAAAATAGTTCGCTATCTTTTCCCGTTGCAAACAAGATACATACCACAAATCGGGCTTAGATAACGTCGCTTCGAAATAGTCTTCCTGGTTCCGAAAATATCTGGGCTCTGTATACAGCCGATTTTTTTCTAAATAGCAAAAGAATACTGCGTCTAAACCTCGCTTCGCTTGAAAAGTCTCCGTAAGACGCTTTTGTCAAGCTCGATACACTCAGCAGAACATATCACATCGTTTATATAAAGTATAATTTCCGGGATCTTCATCTTGCACGTCGTACCAGTGTTTGTAAAAGTCGTTTCTGGGAGAGTGATTTCGAACTTCGCTTCTTCGTAGTAATATCCTTCCCTAAGAGACTTGAAAAGAAGATACTGGAAATATTGTAAATCTCCATACCAGTCGTTGATTGATAAAAGAACATAGTAACGCCGCGGTCCTCTATAATCGGGCTGTCCAACTATATCCAAGGTTAGGCCAATAAGGGAAGGGCAAGCCCCTACTTCCAATACCTTATCAATCCATTCATCGCTTTTGAATATCGCCCTCTATAGTATATTTTCTTGTTTCTCGCTATAAAGGAGAGCATCGGCCATATTCTTGGTAGAATTAGGGAGCATTCCTTCCACGATGAGGTCAAAAATTTCTCGTGGGATTCTTCTGAGTTTTGGCATATTAACAAGGGGTGTTATATCACAAAGAACGTAATTTATCTTGAAGAAACCAGGTAGCTCATTCTATCACAAGGAGCTAGCGCGAGAAGCCCCTATTTATATGCGTGTTTGAAGTCGCAACTGCTTCAGCAAGCTATAGAACCATCGTCAATCGAGCAATTAATCTTAGTACTGGTTTTTGAGGGCTAGGAGGAATTAAATATCCTCATTAATTAGCGGTAAATGTTTATCGTACTTTAATTAATGTTTCACTTCCTCTCTCCAGCCTACAATACAGTAACGTATAGTAAAACTTCTCCAGCAATCGTGATCGCCCAGTGAAGAGGAGAGTTTGATTTATAGGACACGGTTACTCAAATTATACTATACAGTAAGCAAACCGCTCAGATTTCATAAGGCGAACAGACTGTCCTATACAAATTGATTTAGACAACACAGATTCCACTAGAAGTCCGAACCAGTTGTTTCTCTAGCCCTCTTTATTTGTGTTAGGATTATTTTGGTACACACATACACAGTCTATTAACGCCCGGTGGCTAAGCCGAAAGGGCAACTATCGCTAATCTGCCAATATATATCCTAAGATATACAGCACCGCGTATCCTTAGAGCCTATACATAAAACCTTGCAATATATGTTAAGCCATTCAGAATCCCGGGAATAAATCAGGACAACAGATCATCCACGCTATTCTCCAAGCAGTCAAGAACACCAAGACCCACGGCACAGCAATTCGACTACAGTAGAGTAGATACCCGGTCACTGCAAAATACCCGGAAATGATATTGCCGACTAGTTAGCTAAAGAAGCAGCTATACCGGGCAAGACACACCCATTCGGGCCTTTAATATCACGCGAGAGGGCACACATCAGGCAAGGAATCCAAGATCAATAGAAAAGGGAATAGAAAGAATCGAAGACCGGCAGTCACCTGCGCCAGATCGACAATACACTACCGGCCAAGTACACGCGACGGCTCTACGGACCCTTACCTAGAAATCGGGCTTACTTGCTAACGCAATTACGGACGGGACACTGCTAGCTATCAACATACGCAAGACCTTCCGTTTCTACGATGACGACCTATGTACCTATGGCGAACGAGAGAGTGTAACCCACGTTCTGCTGGACTATCCGGAGCTGAGAGAGCTACGGCGAGAGCTCCGAGGGAAAGTTGGTGAAGCGTTCAACAGCATGTCGACCTTGTTGGGGGGACCTGGCGAAGAGGGAAGGGGAAGGATCAATAGTGCTTCAAGGGCTAAGATAGTGGAAGCTGTCTTGGACTTCGCCGAAGCATCATATCGGTTTGAAAGCCGAATACCATGAAGGTAGCATGAAAAGAAAACGGCTGCTGGGCCACGAGAGGCCCCGGCGAGGCATTAAGTTCGCTTAGGAAGTGGTATACGGCAAATGTACGCATAAAGATATATATAGTTGCCGAATCCTGTATATCGTTCGCGAGGGGTCAGGGTAAATGAAATCATCATCATCATCATCAACTGTACTCGCGTTTAGACGGGCAAACCAGTAGCCAATATTGGCCCATTGTTTGTTTCTTGAAAGAACAGAATAGAACCGGGATCGTGGACGTAGGGGCTATTAACCAATTAGTGCAAAAATGAATGCACGAGAGCCACTTCCGAATACTTGTGGGTTGGATGAATTTCTAGTATTGCTTGTCTGGTTAAGGGATTGAACTTTATATGTTGGCCACAGCTTCTGAGTCATACCGTTCTCAACAAATGGCTCCAAAAATATGAGTATACTAGGATCTAGTCGCTGCGACTAGTACCGGCCCGAGGGCCAAGTTTGTGGTTAGCAGGACCGGTAATGCCGATCCTAGGACACTATATATTCATCAAGTCCTTGCCCCGAGAGCTCAAGCTATTGCCTAAGGTGTCTATTAATGCAGAAGTTGGGGTGAATTGAAATACAATAAAGAAATTTTGCTTCGCGAAACCTGTGTAGGACTTTACATAGATGGTCTTGCTATTCAAACAAGTCACGACTCCTGGGAGATAGGATATACCGACGAGCTAGTCGAGCATAAGCATGTTTCAATTAGATACTGTAATCAAATATTTCACACATGCCGCAGGACTTCCTGGGAATAGCGTGCCTGTTTGCTAAGCATACAGTTCGGTGAAAAACAGTATCTTTTGATTTAAAAGCCTATCTAAGCCCCTTTTTCCTCATCTAACAGCCTCGCATTTTAGCCAAGGGTTACCCGCTCCTCAAAATGTTGTCAACGCTCCCATCAGAGCTCCTCGTTTTAATTTTCAAATTACTCAACAAAGATGATATGCTAGAGCTATGTCTAGTTTGTCGCGCTATATATCCGCTATATGATGAAATGCTCTTTTAGCATCTCTACGCTTACCGGCAGCTACCTATATGGCGTGCAGTGGCTCATGGAAGATTGGACATGGCTAAAAAGTCGCTAAAAAAAAGGGGCAGATGTTAACGCCGAATATCAAAAACTCACACCGCTGTGCCTGGCAGTTAAACTAAGGCAGAGAGAGGCTATTATATTTCTATTAGAGCAATCAGGACTCGATACAAATTACCAAGGTCCTAAGGGCCTTAGCGCGCTTTCTCTTGTAGTGACTAGCGGCGACCTTTATGCGGTGCAACTACTGCTTCTCTCAAAGACGATCGATCTCAACTGTTAATACGATAAAGGCATAACACCTTTAATGTATGTAGTTAAATCCGGCGAAACATATATTTTTCAAAAATTGCTATCAGATCCCCGTACCGATCTTAATATCGCTAACTTTCACGGCGAAACTCTGCTTTATTTAGCTACGCAACAAGCCGATTCTGCCGTAATTCAAATTCTAATTCAAAACCCTTAGGTCCAGGTTAATATCCGCGACGATCGCGGAGACACGCCTCTTCTTTCAGCGTTAAAAAAGCTCTTATATACAAAGTTCGACCGGGCCACCCTATCACTACTAGATTCTACTTAAATCGATGTCAACGTTCAAAGCGCGGACGGTAGACGTCTATTGTTCTATACCGTGGAGAGCGACAAAGAAGCCGTTGTGAAGTCTATCTTGCGGAGGCCGAATATTGATCTTAGTATTTGCAATGAATCTGGAGTCACCCCTTTAACGGCTGCAATCGAGAGGAAGCTAGTACCCATTGTGCGGTGCATTTTGAGGCATCCAGCCTTGTCCGTCCTAGCCGATACTCGAAGTATATCCCTAATGTGGACCGTATGTAGAT